CTAGTTTCTTTTGGTAGTCGAATGAATAGAAGATTATGGCTGTAGAAGCGACAATAAAAGAAAACCCAATCGTTCAGTTTGAAAGTCGATCGAAGGCGAAAGGAATAACAGAGAGAGCATGGCAACGGCTAGCCGTGAGTGACCGACCGGAGGGAGGTCGACGAACGACTAGACGCTTATTTTGAAAATGACTTGGAAGATGAGATTTATCACTGTCTCACCTAAAGCCAATGGTTTTTGTTACATAGTATCATCAGCGACATCTCTCGCTTATATATGTTCTTCTTTTTGTCTTGTTCTCTCTATATCTTCTGTTCTCTCGTACATATGTTCAGTATCATCCAGGCATCTAGGCACATATGTTTCTCTGTGACCTGGATCCTGGACATTTCCTTTCAGTGTGTGCAGGAGAAAAGTCCCGATGACGTCTCCTTTATTGAGGAGTTGTATAAAAACTCAGATGTTTTAAATAAAAGGAGAGAAACCTGCTTCATCCAACCTAACGTGTTTCTTAACTGAAAGGTGAATGAAATTTTATATCAAAAAGGATTTTTTTCAATCAGGAGAAGTGACAACGATTTCGGAGAATGAGATCAACAATTATTTTTCTCAAGAATTTGCCTTGTTTTTTGGCTCCAAATCAAATACGACGGCTCAACGACTGAGAAAATTAGGATGGAAACCATATCGAACCATAGTCTGCTCGATACTATTCAACAAGAAATTGATATGACAATCAACAAAAACTGAAAATTATTTCATTACATAAATTAAAACAACAAACATCTCTCATTGATGATGTTATTATTCTCCTTTTCTCATAGTTTTGCAGTTACGAGTTTATTTTTCTTGTTTCTCGAAAATATATCCAATGAGATATGCAACGACACTGATCAAAGTCTAAACACTTCCTACGAGAAGACATATAAAACCAGGTTGTGATTTAGGTTTTTTCCATTAAACACCATATAGTTACCCTATCTTGTTTATCATAAGAACAGGTGTGTGTCGAATTGATCTACAAACAAAGAATAGTGACAGTATATAACATGAGAGAACAATTTGTATATCATTTTATTTAAAGGATACGCATTCAGTTCATTCGATGCTGTTTAATATTGATGTGAGTATATACAATCCTACGATGCGAGGACGTTTCCTAGCATCACTCATTTTACTCGTTATATTCTCATATTGAACAGTTCACATCGGTGTATAACAAATCATACTCTTATATAATTTTGTTGAACGTCCCGTTCCACTATACCAGACACGTACTCCTTATAAAGCTATTTTCTTTTTCTCGGTCTCCACAAAAACGTCCGACACCGATTAATGTTAAAATTATAGCTGAACATCCGAAAATGTCTGTAAAAATGTATCGACGACCAGCCATTTATTTGAAATAACTCTCTTGGTAGCAGAACGTACTTTTTGCTTTGAAGTAAAGGTCTATTTTCATGAATATCTTTTCTTCACATGCTTCATGTTTGTTTTCTTATCGATAACATAAAGACAAATAGTAGAATGACTACAGTTTGCACACTGTTTGTTGCAACAACATTGACCATGTCAATACTGTGCCATTCTTGTCTTCTTCTATTCATACATTACTGATCCGAACTAAAACACGTCTTTTAATCAATCAAATCAAATAATCCATCATTTGAAAAAAGAGTCATTAAACATACTCAAGCCATTTCGAGAGTGATAAGAAAAGAACCTTATTTCCTGAAATACACATATAAACATGTTTCTTTTTTTAATCTGTTTTCCTATAATATTTTGCCACTATTCAAAGTGTTACTGTATAACAACAAAATTTCGAGAAGACTTGTTTCAGTTGTATATGTTCTGGTCGTAGGAATGTTCGTGTGTACTTTTTTGCAAAGAATATAGGAAACATTAAGATACGCCAAATTCCGTATTATCGATATTCACAGTACGGTATCTGAATATGAACGCTCGATTCGGGCCAACAATTGCTCTAGAAGAACAATTATCAGCAAAGATTTTTTGTCTTTCTACTTGAGTAACATTGTTAAACTTTGTCCACAAAAAAGCTATGGGAGTTGCCAGTTCTCATGTTGTAGAGAGTGAATACTTCATAGTACAATAAATATACAAATATATGCAATCATTTACTGTGATGATGAAGACGGTTTTCATAGGGTCGAAGTAATGACAGTTGAATGTTTAATGCCATTATCTTATCTATGACATCAATGCGCATCAAAGTAACAAATAAACTTCAATATAAAAGCGTATCGTATCAGATCTGTTTTTGGGAATAATAAGTTTGAAGATAAACTTTCATCTATAGTTAGTTAAAATTTTGAATTCAACTTTCAAATTTGACACGTATAACTATAGTTTTATTATCAGGACCTTTTATAATTATCAGTTGTGTGGTGAAATAGAAAAAAAAGAACAAGAGTACTCGTACTTGTCTTTTCTTTATCTGTGAATATCCAAATTTATTTCGTATTTATTACATCTATTTTAATAGCACCAACAATTCTCTTCTGTATTTCATTTTCCATTAATAATGTTGTTATTCATAAGTCTTGTATTGTTCTTTGTAAAAATTAATAGTGAGAATGTTGAATATTCGAAGACATCGATACAACCTATTCATGTACGTATTCAACATATTGACGTAGATACGCATTCTGATATTGTCATTGATATACAAACACCACATTTCTCATGGGAATTAGCTGATGAATATGATGATTATGGACAACGAATTCGAAATATTGAACAAATAGGTTATCATATAGCTGTTAGTGCGGTGATTGATAATGAAATTATTTGGGATAGTGGTTATGTACGTTCTTCTATATCTACACATATTTTATACGAAGGCAAACAGTTGAAATCTGATACACGTTATAAGGTAAATATAAAATATGAAACAAATAAACATGAAAGTGAATGGTATAGTGTTGATTTTCGAACTGGATTATTTTCATTAGATGATTGGTCAGGTGAATGGATTGGAAGTCAATCGATGAATATGAATCAATTACGAACTGTAATCAATCTAAAATCAAATCCTATTCGATCTGCAACTGCTTTTATTAGTGGTATTGGTTATTATCAATTGTATATTGAAGGAGAATTAATTGATCAGTCACGAAGATTAGATGTTGGATGGACAACATATCAACAAAGAACACTTTATACTTCGTACGATTTGACAAATGTATTGAATACAAGTGGATTAAAAGGTATTGGTGTAATGTTAGGTCAAGGTTGGTACAATAAACAACAATGGGCTATTGGTCAAGGACCACATGTTGAACTTTCATTGAATTATGGTCCACCGCGTGTCATATTACAAATCAATATAATTTATACAGATGGAACAAATGAAAGTATTGTTACAAATACAAATTGGTTAGGTCGTGAAGGTGAACATCGTTTTGATTCAATTTATATGGGAACAACAGTAGATTTTCGAGCAGTGCAACTATGTTGGTCGTGTGCCAATTTTAGTGATTTTCGTTTATGGATGAATGCTTCTATTTTACCATCACCAGTGAATTTTACAGCTGGTGGACAATTTTCTTTGCAAATCATGGATCCTATTCGTATTGGTCCCGATGCATTGCACATAGCAACATCAGGTCAATTGGGAAATATCGACGGAGTAGAAGGAGCAAGTTTAACGGATGGTGGAATACTTAAACCAATTTCACAAGAATATGTCAATGGACAGTTATTTGATTTAGGTCAGAATTTTGCTGGCTGGTGTCGAATAGCATCATTGAATGCAGCTAAATCAACAATAATTCAACTTCGTTATGGTGAACTTCGATATTCACGTAGTGTTAATGAAATGAATTATCATGGATTATTCTATGAAAATCTTTGTAGTATTGCTGTAATGGATACTGTCATTTTAAATGGAACAGAAAATGAAATTTTTGAACCGCCATTTACTTATCATGGTTTTCGATATATGTTAATCAATGGATATGATCATATCAATAGATCAGATGTTGAATGTTATAATGCACATAGTCAAACAAGATTAATTGGTAATTTTACAAGTAGTAATCAAGTAATAAATCAAATCCAACATAATATTTTATGGTCACAATTGAGTAATTCAATGTCAATTCCAACTGATTGTGCTCAAAGAAATGAAAGAAGAGGTTGGATGGGTGACGCTGGACTTAGTGTTGATGCATCTTTATTTAACTTTGATTATATTAATTTTTATATCAACTTTCTAACAATGATTGAAGATAATCAAACACCTGATGGTGCTATCAGTGATACTGTACCATTTACAGTTGGTTCTCGGCCAGCAGATCCTAATTGGGGCACAGCTTATATAACGATAGCTTGGTATTTGTATGAACATACAGGTGATATAAATATAATTAAGAATTATTATCAAGGTATTCAATTATGGATTGATTGTTTAATTCAACATTATGAGCAAACAGGTTTAGCGAGATTTTACCATACTTACGGAGATTGGAATCCAGTCAATCGAACTGGTAATCAATCATTAATATCTTCTTATCCATTTCTACGTGATGTTTATCGTTTCGTAAATATGAGTGAACTTCTCAATCGAACAGATAATATTGAAAAATATGGACAATTATATCAAAGATTAGCTGACGAATTTCATCGTGTCTTTTATAATGAAAGTATTCGTAGTTATGTTGATGGAAGTCAACCAATGAATATTCTTGCACTTGATTTACCTGATGTTGTTCCAACACCTCTTCGTACAACAATTGTTCAATCTCTTGCTGATAATCTTATAAAAACAGGTTACTTTACAGGGGGTATCATCAGTGTCAATGCATTGTTTCCTCTTCTGTCCAATGAAGGACATCATGATTTAGCTTTACAATTAGCACAAAAAACATCCTATCCATCGTATGGATATATGTTTAATAATAATGTTCAAAATGCAACAACAAATTGGGAAGGTTGGGATACTTTACCGCAAGGAGGTGCGAGTTCTCCCAATCATCATATGTTTAATAGTATTGGAGCTTGGTTTTATCGATATTTAGCTGGTATTCATTTGAATGCACTTCAAACAATCATAATCCATCCAAAAATGTCTTATGATTATCAACTTTTAACTGAGATTAATGCTGAAGTTGTAACGACTAAAGGATCGGTTAAAGTTCATTGGAAAAGAATTTCACAAAATCAAATTGATCTATCAGTTCGTATACCAAATAACATCAATGCTATTGTCTCATTTGATCGCTTGGTTGAACAAGGAAAATGTATGAAATTAATTTGTAATAATGAAATCATTTGGATAAGAGAAAAGTTGAATCTATTGAAGAATACTCTTGGTATTAGTCATTTAACTGAACATCAATCAACAGGTACAATGTCAATTAGAATTGAGTCGGGTGACTACACTTTCACTGCATATTGGCAATAAGACAGCGTTCATTCTATGGATTTAATGACTCCTTTTTTTAAGAATAAATCGAATAATATATTTTTCGTTTGAATTTGATTTTGAAGATCTGATGTTTTACCATTTTACTTCACAAAAATTTCAATCTACTCTGATTCGAATATCAAGAAGTTCAAGACTGTATATAAGAAAGAAAAAAGATTAAAACATTTAGAAATTAATTAAATTTAATTGCTGAGATATGTAGCCAGTGCACCGAAAACGGTCGAAGTATCTTAATGGAAATTAATGAAACAAATTGAACGCACGTCGAGTATTAACTCAATCTTCATTTTGCTGTCATGTCTAACGTTTACATTCGAAACATATAGAAGCAAAACCTATTCAAACTGTTACTATTTATAATTGAAGAAATATCTGCGATTACAACCGTTCGTCTGATTATAAAACATGACTTGTAAACAATAGTCTATCAATTATAATGCCACCAAGTTTTGACTTTTCGATCAATATTCAAACGTAGAAAGTTATTTGTTACCGGCAGTTGAATTTCTAAATAATCTCGATGTAAGTTACATGAATTGCATCTTAGATTACTAAAAGTCCCAGAATGGATTCAATCGAGTATAATTATATACATATATCTAAACATGCTGAAAGGATTCAACATTTGGTTTCCTCTTGCTATGCAATCGCCAGGTGTGGGTGAGGGTGAGGGTGAGGGTAAGGGTATATATGTATAAGTAAAACTAAATCTAGTTCTATTCCTAAGGGTGCTAGGAATTGGTCACGTATACTATAAGTCAAATTAGGCAGCTACTCACCGAATCATACTCATTCGGCAGAATTTTACGACAATATCGATAGTGTGTATGAAAGTATGGGTGACCATCCAAAAGCACTTTCGTCTTATGAAAAAGCTCCTGCAATATGACAACAATCATTTCCGCATAATCATCCTGATTTAGCTGCCTCTCACAATGACATCGCAATTGCGTATGAGAAAATGGGTGACTATTCGAAAGCATTTTCATCTATTCAAAGCGCTTTACTAAGTGGAGAACAATCATTATTACCAAATCATCCCGACCTTCAGCATCTGAGACGCAACCTCGAACTTATAAAAAGAAACTTATAATTGATGTTCATGTTCGATATCGAGAAGAAATAAAGTTTCATTATCTGTGAATTCGTTCATTGTTGATTTGATCTTCTGTCATCATAATCCTTTCATTGCTTCTGTTTGTGTAAAAACAATACGATATGTGATTCGAAGAGAGTGAAGCATAATTCTGTTGCAAATATTCCATGAGATCAGTCTTCTCAGAGAAAAGAGTATGAGTGATGTCATTATCAACTATGAGCAACTATTCAAATGTCACCCACACACTTAACACAAAACTTGGGAATCTCCAAAATACGTGTACTCTTTCGTCATCGGATGTTGGATTTTTCTTTTACCTTTTTTTCTCTCCAAGTAAGACGGGCGGTTTATTGAAACAGCACGACTTGAATGAATCATTAGTCAACACAGGAGGATAGAAAAGAGAAGAATACTCGCAGTCGTCAGTTTCATTTCTCCACAAAATGCGTGTCTCTGTGAAGAACCTAGATAATAACATTTGCATAATTGAGATCGAACAATCGGAAAGTTTGGGAACCGTCAAGGCAAAGATTGAAGAAAAGACAGGAATAGCACCTCCGTACCAGAGATTAATCCACATGGGTCATCAACTTGACGAAAGAAAAAAAGTGAGTGACTATAATATTCAAGAAGGAAGTACAATCAACATAATTCATCGTGGCCCACTGGAACTTTCTTCTCAATCAACAAAAAACTAAATTAGAAGCCAATGGAACTCTAAAATTTTCAAATTAAACACCAGGTAATTTGTCTTCTATGTAATTTTTTTATAGAATAAAAATAATGCCTTTTTTATGAGTTGTGTTAAATATATGATGGTAAAATTGTCATTAACTTTTTTATATCGATATCATTTTCCTCATTGGAATCGCGGTCTGAGAGAAGGAGGAGAATACATGTTATCTTTGAATATTTGAACATTCGCTATGTTGGTTATTCCTAAAAGTTTCTTCTAAGAAATCTTCATCAAGATTTGCCATAAGCAATCCTGAATTAAACGCACAAATGTTGAACGAATATTCATATTCACCCACATTCCCACGAATAATATGAATAAATCTCAAAATTCCACAAATCTCTTCGATTTCGTTAATATTTTTTGCACACAAATCGATAATAAAATAGCATCACCCGTTCTCTGTTCGACTTTTTGATAATCGAAGAATCTCTTATTACTCCGCAATAGAGTTCATTCTGAAAAAAACTCCTTTGTTTTAATCCATCCAGACACATAAGGGATTCGACTAACGAATTGATTATGTTGGCAAAACATTGAAACATTTATTGATACTAAAATGAAATGATCCATCAATAATGAAGATCTGAGAAAGAGCGATGAAATATTTGAATAATACGCACATTGATACGGATTTTGTCGAAAATTCGACTGTAAAAGAAGCTGAACAAGATCATAATTATTTGTATGACATCCTATGTAAAGAACTGTATTGCCACATATAGTATCTTCCCACGAAAAAAATTTTCGATCAAAACCGCGGTATATAACGGTGGATGAGGACGCGAGTGTCAGTGGTTTAATGACGCCGCGAAAGTCAAATCTATTATTAGGTTCCCTCACACCGGCCGAAACCACGGTTTGAGGATACCGCGGTTATTCGAAAAAACTTAATTCACCATCATATTGGTATATCACCTGTCACATCTATCTCGGTGTCATCCACTATCTTCACATGGTCATCTTACATCTCGGTCAGCTCATTAGATACCACTTCCTATTTTCTATTTCTATTCCTTTAGTTATATTCGAACGACTTACCTTATGATTGTGGTCCACTGATTCCGTTGAGCCATCTGGCGACGTTCATATTAATATTAGATGAGATAGTCTATCCTATCGTACCGAGGAACTTTCTTACTTAGATCGATATGTTTCATTTACTGGTGGATGTATACGAGTGTCACGAATACTAGCAACGTATGTCAGCTTCGCAATTTTTTGAAACTTCTCGAGATGCTTATGTTGATGATCAGCTATACATACTAAACAGCTTGAACACTTCTATTTATCGTTTATATTGATAATTAGTGATATAAAAATAGGCAGTTTGCTTTGAAGAATAATAAAACCAGAGGGAAATGTCGGTTCACTTGAATCTTTTAGTTGATGGATCATAACTCTGCGCGTTTGTGAATGACCTGACGATTCTGATGATGATAGCTGATTCTATTTTGTAGAACTATATTTTGGAAGAAAGCAAGTTGGCAGCATTCAATACACATATCCCAAGTGTATTCATCAAAGCAAAAAGCTGTTCAAGATCTACTTCTGAGTGTCTTTCATGTCTTTGCATGACTATGGCAGTCTTTTGGTAAAATCTCATTGATATTTTCAACCATTTTAGGTCTAACTTTTTGACGAATAACTGAATTCGATCAAATTGATGACTGTTACATCTTTATGTGGCTCGAGAAATGAATGCTTTCCAAATATGTGAATTTACATGTAAAGAACTGACTTATTTTTGAATCTCTTCAAGTTAAAATGCGAAGCAGACAATAATAGATACGATGTTGAATTTTTTATGGTTCGATAAAGAAAACGTCTATACTCGTATTCTCCAAAAGACTTTTTCCTGTAGATCATGCCTCTTCTCAACTTGAATCAATATGAGTTTGATTTCTTTTTAATCGCACCATACTTTCATGTCTCGAAATTGCTGCGACATGTTTTCATATGAAAAGCAAACAAAATCTGTAGTCAGAAGGAAAAACTACACTGTTTAGGATGCTGGCATCTTTTGAAAAAATATAAAGACTGCCGTTGATGATTAGGACTTCGAACGATATGAGCCTGTGAAATATGGCGCTTTTCAAATACCGCAAATAATATACATTTAATTGCGCTTTCACAAAACCGCGGTCTTCAACGATACAACCGCTACCATGGTGGGAAAACCGCGTCCATCAGCGGTATCTGGTTCAAAATTTTTTTGTGGGTTGTCGAATGAATTCTTTATTCCCTTTTCTGAAAGAAAGGGTTATACAGCGTTTAAATGCTGTGTTAAAAAGCTTAAAGTTTGTCTGTCCTACCCAATCAGAAATCAGCATTTCTAAAATCAACGAAATTGATCGAAAGTTGTTAGAAAATGATTACCGGTAGGGTAATCGAGGTCGGGGAACTTGAATCTGAGGTTAGTTTGAACTAATTATTAACTATTAATTAACTATCTGTCAGCTAGACATAAATTATTAATATGCAGGGTAAGGGTCGACCGAAGGATCTCTGACGTCGGGAAATTCGAATTTGAGGGTGAATTTCGTTTTATTCGCTGAGCTTGGGCTTATTCCTTCCTCTTTACAAAGGAGATATTTTTCTTTATCTGTTCTAAAATCTTCTGTAGAAGATGGTGAGTTGAACGCCATTCACGGACGTCATGTGTACAAAGATAGTAGCTCAAGAACTTACACGAAAAGATCTAATGCATTGTACGTAATGATGTTTCTAATTCAAGAAATCCGAAAAAGTGATATGAGCTTAGTATCATCTTTGCTTTGTAGGCTACATACATCATGTCCTTTCATGGGAATTTAGTAGAAGTAGTTCGCAAAGCGATATAGTCGTCGGTGGAATTCCATCTTAGTAACTACAGACGCGTGGACTGTAGAAACAGTATTCTGAACACATGCAGCGCTATGAAAGATGTTCGTTTCGAAGCAACTCATACAATAAGACTTTCTTATCTAGTTTCTTTTGGTAGTCGAATGAATAGAAGATTATGGCTGTAGAAGCTACAATAAAAGAAAACCCAATCGTTCAGTTTGAAAGTCGATCGAAGGCGAAAGAAATAACAGAGACAGCATGGCAACGGCTAGCCGTGAGTGACCGACCGGAGGGAGGTCGACGAACGACTATGCGTTTAAATACTAGATTAATCCTAAAGTGTACGCTTAGAATAACCTTGCCAGGCTTCAGATAATTTTGAAAAGGATTTGACGAATGGATATTCCTCAATGAAAATATTCGACAAGGTATCATTTTGTTGACAGGAAAGAAAAGAATCGGATTATCGCTGGAAGACACAGGCGAATGTTCAAAACTTTTCAAGTAGTCTACTGTATATCGTCCGTCTATGAGGGACTGAGTAAAGCATTTATGAAAATTTCGATGCGCGTGATGTGAAAATAGAAAAACAGATGACAAAGGTCAACGGTTGGCCGTCTGACTAGGCGTTGAGCGATGAATTTTTCAGTCAACATAGTTAGTGCTGGAGAATTATCCACTGGCAAATGGTTAATCGGTCTGATTCCAAAAAAGACTTTTGCATCCTATTGATTCTAGTGTGTGACATAGTGCCATGATTCAGTTGAGCACTAGTAGCAATCGCAGTGCGTTTTCTCTCTTTCGAAGTCTCTGAATGTGTTCAGCATTCGAAAAAGTCTTTCAGAAAAGGGTCAGCGAATCCAAAGGATAAGCGTTACTTGTAAGATAGTTGAGGGAACTGTAACGACAAACTGGTTGAGTAGTTGACCGCTTCTCACGGTATCGATGTTTATTGACTACTCTACATGAACAGAATGTATCTCTTTCACAATAAGACACGTGCTTATGTAGAGAAGAAGAAAGAGAGATATGACTCGGAGATAGTATGATACAGAGGTGAGAGAATAAAGAACAGAAAGGGATGAACGATATTATTATCGTTACATCTACTACGAACGTTTTGCGTTGCCCTGTTGTATCGCGTATTCATGTTTGGTTTTATATTCGTGATTGGTCGTTGGTTGTGATTCTCGATGAAGAGTCAGAAACGTGTTAGAAATACTGTCAATTAAACGAGCTGAATTTTTTTATGTGTCCGTTTCAAATAGTTCCACAGATTTACTCGAGTGAAATGCAAGCAAAAGCGAATTCCAACGTGTTTGGGCGTTTCATTTCTACATGTTTAACGGTGATCATCAAGGACCCTGACTGGTGCGCGAGCACAGTCGAAAATTAGTTGTCGTTTACACGCGTTTTCCTATAATCTTGCCTGCTTCGTTTCTCCTTCATATAAAACCATAGCACTGAACTTTTAAGTTTCACATTTCTTCATGAAACGTTTTTTGCAGTATGAAACTTAAAAGGGCTTTGTAGTCGATAGTTCGGAGCGTATATCCGCGAAGAAGTCCTTTTCAGATCTGACAGTTTATGAAAATCATTTTCCGTATGTTCGTGCATTTGGAAACCCAGGTCAACAAATCCGATGCTGGATCCGATCGGATCTTACCGGATCCGACCATCCGACAAAATCCGATCGGATTCCGGGAAACGGAATTGCATTGGAATCCGACTAGAAAAATCCCGTCGGTTGTTGCAAATTTTATGAGCGATCTTTCTAGCTATATTCTATGATGACCCTTAGAAAATCCAGGAAATCCATGTTTCGGTTCCGACGAGATCCGACGNCAGCTGTCTCATCGTTTTCACCAGAACTCGTTATTGATTTGGCGGTGAACACAATACTCGTCATTCGAAAAATTCACATACCTCTCAATTGTATACTTTACATTAATAATCACAATAAACTGATGTGTTAAGAAATTCAAGCAATGACTTCGCAGTCGCGCACGAAACTATCAATAACGTCTCCAAAAATGTTCATTGCTTGAAACATTGTTTGGAGTGCGGACGTATACGTGAAAAGTCGGCGAAGGTGCTTATGTCTCACATATTGGATGTCACTCGATGATACTCGTTGACAAGGCCGTTAGCGAATGGCCTGGATGGAAGTCTAGTGATAGATAAAAAGAACATTAGAAGATTCATCTACATATGAAAGACTTTGAGCTAGATTGAACTTGTTCTTACCCAAATCTGAATTTTCTTATCCTCTGGTTCACGATCAAGTCTTGCCTTATGCATGTCTTCGCTCTAATGTAAATGTTGCATATTGCGCTGAATTCATTTATCGTCTGCTTCGAAATAATAATGTAAAATAACGACGATGCACAGTCGACCCGACCCAAGAGTTTGAACTCAAAATTCCACGTAAGTATATATTGAAAATTGAAAATCGTACACAAACTCTTCACGTGAAGGTCTTATTTTTTCGATAAAGGTAACCTCGACATATACTTGTCCTTTTCTGGCATGTGAGATCTCACAAGAATTTTTTAAACACTTATTGTTCATCGGTTAAGTTCAAAGGCAAAGTTATCAACAACGAATCATTTTTATCATAATTGATGATATCCATGAAATGTTGATCGATTATGTCTCTTTATTTAGCTCATTCTTAAGATCGAATTTAACCGATTATTGAAGAGTAAGCAATCAAGAATAATCAAACGACTTTTATTTACCGTATGAAATCGTTTTTACCTGGGCAATTTACTCATGTTATCAGTCGATTACTTAGATAAAATGCATCTACTTAGAAATGATTTTCTCTTTTTTTAGTTGTATCTCATCAGAACATAAGAATAGACAGAGAGTTCAGCGAGAGATTCGCCATCGTTCTTGTTGTTTGATGCACTGTATGACAATTCATTCGATTGATTATACTCAGTGATCGTCGCTTTCGGTACATGATCATCGATATTGCGTTTTGTTATCCTCCCGATATTTTCCAAAAGACGATGTAATTGAGCTAGATCATTGCTTTTTTTGCATTGATCGATACCAATGCTTTCTTGAACCTGTCGAAAAAGGTGATCTCGTACTTTGATTAGACCATGATTTGCACCATCGTAAACAAAAACACCTCCGCAGACCAATCAGTAACCAGAAGTCTAATCAATGATGCAAGCGTGTCATTGTCACGGCGCTAGGACAGAATGTCGCAGACAAATCGTTGCGGACAAAACGTCACACGGACAAATGGTTGCAATACATTGTGATTTGATATAGGAACCAAATTAAATATTCTTTAAATACTCATATTTTTCGCAAAATATTTATAACACAAAGATATACCTCAAACTGCTATCACCATACACTATAAAGCCGTGCCACAAATTAATCTTCTCAGTTTTCTGAAACCTTGCAACGTGTGTCTATTATAGGTTTTGTTTTGTTCAACGTATTTCACAAAATTCGACCTAAAACGTCTGTGACGCGTGATAGAAACGTTTCAGTTGTATAAAGATTTCGAGTTGCTTCATCTGTCCAGTTATCAGGTTTCCTTGGAAATTGGTATTTTTCTACTAATCCATGGTTCCCATTATCATCCTCTATTGAAACTGGTTGCTGGATTATTTATGTATCAAATCATAATGTATTGCAACCATTTGTCCATGCGACGTTTTGTCCGCAACGATTTGTCTGCCACATTCTGTCCGGACACCAAAAAAAGCAGGTACATGTAGGTCATGTTTTTTCTCGGTACTTTCCCTGTTGCCAATTCGTTTGGTAAAGAATCGACAACAATCTCGTTCTCTTCAAGTAATATTTAATTTGAATATCAATACTTATCTTTACAAATTTGTCGGAAATCTCAGATCTCAGTTTTTTTCACGTTACTAAAGCAATTACATATAAGCTATCCGTGAAATAGCTGATCGATGATTGGTAACTGTTGCGTTTAATTCGCCATTTGATCATGTAACATGACTAACAAGGAACGAGACATCCGAATCTTTTCTTTTCATTTACACATACTGGGAGAAACAGAGAAAACTGAAAGAAAACACATACATTTCATTGTTCTTTCATCACTTTTTGTAAAGTCTTCATCTCATCATAATTACAGCTCTGTTCGTTGTCATGGGATGAATGGCATTTTGTTTAGTGTCTGACATCATTCGTCGTCGACGATTATCGATCAAAAGCCTCATCTTCTGTTTGATTTCTGGCAACGCAAACACACACACAACTGGATTTCCCAACACCGATAAGTAAATGATATTGATCAGCACAAAACTTGTTTGCAGTTCAATTAACAAATCAGATGGCCTTTCACTGGTTGCTGCAAGCACTAAAACAATAGTCACAGGTAGCCAAACTATCGTATGTATCGCCGATACTGATAACAGTTGTCCAAGCATCCCAACATTCTTTTTCCACACGTTTTTCTGTCGCATTCGACGTCTCTGCAGCATCACTCGCATGCAAAGCAAAACGTTGAAAAAAATTATGCATGATAGTGGCATATAAACGGTGAATATTACATCAAATGTGCCAATAGCTGCTTCTAGTTGATAACATGAACCACCACATAACTGATCAACATACGAGAAATGCTCTTCGCATGGATAAAACAGAACTGCACTGCAAGAATATATAATTGCAATCAGTGTGAACGTCGCCATTGGAGCATAATGAATCCAAGTCTTGTATCTAAATGTGAACAAGACGAGAATGTTCGGTTCGTCGAAGACATGGAACATGTGTGCGTTTACTTGTTTAGAATATTGGGATGTATGATGAACAGATAACGATCAACTGAGAGATGAGCATTGAGAAACAAGAGACTTGTATTCAGACTGTAGTTGAAAGCAATCCAGAACTTGCAGAAACGATAAGTCTCGAATGGAACACGACCACTCCTCAGAAACGCCAACAAGAATGGCATTTCACATGTTTCCTATGAGATTAGTTGAATCAAATGATTAGAACGAAAGATTCCTTACTTGAATCAAGCCGATGATGAAGATGAAGATAATTGAATGATTGGTTAAACGAGTTCGCAATTCGTCTAGGCGACAGATCCAATAACAGATATACAAAGCTAATAATGTTGATGGAATGATGAAGATGCTGAACAAAATCAAACAAACAAGTCGATTGAGAGCGACGTTGATGTATGATGATGTTGGTGAGTCGACATCTGCTGAGTCGTTCATTTGGATCATATAAATAGAACTGGTTCGTAAAGTGTTTCTAGTAGCTGAAAGAAAAAAAAACGAGTCATGAATAGTTCTGAATGGGAAAAGAAATTGTTGGAAGTGATTCTCTACTGTTGAAGATGGTGGAAAGGATTTTTTGGCACTTGGATGAAATCTTTAATCTCATTTATTATGAATATTTGCGACAGATACAGAGCACAGCTTGTCCTAAACTTGGGTTCTTACCAATAATTCTCATACAAGAAAGCGTTAATTTCTTATGTGGATTAAATTATCTCGTGTCAAAATCTGTCGACCAAAAAAATATCACAAGTCCGCCTTTTCACTAGCAAAAAAACTACATCCTGCACTCGTCGCGCAGATCTCTATCTTTTCATATATACTACATCTACATCGTATACAAAAGTATCCGTAATATGGTAATTACTCACTTCTAAAAGATAATATACTTTTTCTGCCGAGAATCAATACGTTCATTTCACTAAACTCGATGTTTTTACACATTCGATTTCATTTAAAATAAGTTTCAACAGGCCGTTTTCTAACACGACCAATCTAGCTGATACACAAATTCAAATAAGCGGACTTATCAAGGACGTACTCATGGCTTCGTGTCACTCGTCAAACAAACAAAATGTTCTAAATCATCTCTCGTGGAAACGATAACGATGTTTATCAACGTCCTCATACGAACAGAGTACATCTTTCTTAAGAAAAAAACTGCGAAGTACGACTGATAAGTCAGATATGTCATTTCTTTTTCGAGTGTTTCACGAGGACACGCGGATGAATGCATCGGAAAGATGCCTAACCTTCCGTCAAGCTTCTACTCTTTTCTATCCTTTTTCTCGGCTATTCACATTATCAAACAACATCTCATTTAACCGCTCCTCAACTTCGACCGACTTGTGCAGAAACAGAAAAACATCCTATAAACATCTCGCACTGGACTCTTGAGCGGATTGAAATCAGATTTTTAATCCACCCATCTGTGAACCCCTCCTGTACTGAATTTTCGGGCCAGTTTCGACCCTCTCGCAAATCTTCACTCAAAATCGAGAAGTCAAAGTCATGAATTGTCAATTAGCTGTCGGATTAAAATTCCAAGTTCAATCCTCTCACAAATCTTCACTCAAAGTCAAGAATTCAGAGTCAGAGATAGTCAATTAACTGTCGGATTAAAAATCCAATATCAATCCTCACTCAAAATGGAGCAGTTAGAGATTAGAGCGGGCATCGAGATTCTGGATTAGAAATCGGATTTTCGGCTTCTCGCAAATTCGCTCCTCTTGATCGGACAGTGGTTTTCGTTGATTCTGGGATGTGGTAGAGGGATTGATGCTGAGGATGTATTCGGATTGCTAGCGGCTGATGATATTTCATGTGTAATAAGGTGTTTTAGCGGGGAAAGATATCACTTTAGATCGGATTTTCGGGGAAGTCATCATAACGGTTTGTAACCGGTCGGAACTTTTGGGAATAGGCTGGGTTCAATCACTAGGATTCTCTCGGGACCACTGATGGAATTAGGGCGCTGTAGCATTATGTATATGTATGTTCATCAACTGATTACCAGTTCACATACGTATGGCTTCTTCCTAGTGTCCTGCGGGAACGACTATTTTCCCTAATTTTCCCATTCCCTTTTCCCTTGGGAATGGGAATGGGAATTCCCATTTATATTTAGGGAATGGGAATACGGGAATGGGAACAAAGCGAAAAACTACGTTCCCTAAACTCGAACCATTTTATTTATCTATATATACAAATTTCTACCTTATAATAACTGACTTTATTAGATTCTCTTTTTCACACAATAAATAACCAAATAAAGAATTCTTATCTGTATCGAAATAAATCATAAATAGTTTTCTTCTTCATTATCATCTTGCGACATTCCATCACCAATGTCGTGTTGAAAAGACTCGTGGATAGCATCTTCTTGTAGTACATTATCGAAAACATCCTCTTGTGGCAAATCATCAATATCAAATTCTTGTGATGAGCTCTTATCACAATCTTCTATTGAGAATTTTCGTTTCTTGCTTGGTGTAACGGACGCATCACTAATTGTCCTTTTTCTTGTTTGTATGAGAGAAGTTGGAAATAATTCTTTTAACTGTGATAAGTTTCGACGTATAAATAGCAATTGATTCACTTTACTAGTCTGTAAACGTGTGCGACGATTTGTAATCGTATTTCCACTGTCTGAGAAAAGTCTTTCGACCGCCGTGTTAGTAGCTGGAATCGATAAGACACGTTTAGCTATTTTCGCTAATGTCGGATACGATGATTCGTGGTTTTCCCAAAAAGTTAATACATCCGCATCTTTAGCAATTTTCGTTTTATCTTCTAAGTATCGATCGAATTCTGATTTTAATTCGGGCGTATTTGATGATTCATCAGGTGCCGTGGGTAAATCAAATATGTCATCGAGAGATGGCATTAATTTTGTGTTGTTCTGTTGGGTTTGTTTCCTTTTGTTGTTTTGAGTTGCTGAGGATGCTTGTGGGTGTTGGTTTTGTTGACATTTATCAAACTCTTCTTTCAATAATGCTTCTGCATGATATTTTTGGTTTGGTGTATGATTAAAACTTTTCAAATTTGGATGTAACATCGTTGCAATGAAATGGATATCTTTCAAAACCCAATAATCAGGTAATTCTTTACCAATATATCGTTTCAATGGCGCCATCACATGATTATCGTTATCATTGACAACAGACAAATTAATCAAATATTGTTTATACGGAACAACGAGATGTATGGTTGGCTTTTTCTCACAGCTTAACTTTTCGATAACTTTGAAAAACTCCGCTAAGTATTTGCATAATGATTGCAAGCTTTCGTGATCAATTTCCAAATAACTTTTCTTTTGTTCGTCGCCAAGAATTTTTGGTAACTCATAGTAAACTTTCAAGAAAGAATTGCACATGAGATAAACACCACTGAAGCGTGTATTCGAATAATTAATGGGAGCAGTTGATAACAGCGATTGTTTATGCGATTGACGAATATTAGTTATAATTGCTCGAACTAATTTGAATAATAATTGTGCACCTTCGCATTTACTGCTTTTGTTCAGGAATGCATGTTCGAGAATCTTGTTCAAGTAATGTGCACTACATCCAACACGTATACAATCATCTTTAAAAGCGCTCTTCATCTTGTTTTCGTTGTCAGTTACAACGAATATTTCATCATTTAAATGGAGACCATATTCTTGTAATACTTTATTAACAAATGAACGTAAATTAATTGCATGCTGAGTTTCAAAATCATATGCTTGGCATGATAAGGTGAACATACGCAGTTGAGAGTGTTCGTCGACGTAATGAAGGCTTATTCCACCATAATGAACTCCTTCAAAACAGAAAAAATACATCATGTATTGAAATGTTAGTCGACAGGGAAGAATGAGTTTACCGGTCAATTTTGCTGTCCAAAAGTCACACGTGATTGAAAAGCATTCCAACGATACGCATAAAGAGATTAATTGTTTCTTTAGATTAAAATAAACTTGTTCAACGTTACGACTAATCTACGGAAAGAAATTACTTTATATTTAAATCATTCAAAGGATACGAGCTAATACTTACTGTGCTCGGGTCAGGTAATAACTCAGTCACGTTTACAGATGTACCCAAAGTAGCGCCAGCATTCACCAATTGTTTGGCCAGTGCTTTGAATCCAGTACCAGCTACACTTTCAAACGAGCGTCCATCAAGTGCACAATATTCGACGCAGACTTCAGTAATGCGTTTTCGAATCAATGGACATTCTTTGGATAATGAAGGATGTGTGCAGTAAGATGATATCGTTCTTTGTCGAGTTGGAGTGGTCGATGGAGATTTGACCTTAACACAGTTGTGATGAGTCATTACTCGTGTACCTTGATCCTTGGTCCATTTCAATATAGATTTACATACCAAACAAACGATGTAATCTTGAGCATTATTTGAATGATAAACTTGAGAAAAATTGGTCCAACAGTCACTACGTTTATTACTTGGCTTCTTAAACGAAATCAGTGGATCATCAGATGATACCAGCCTTTGTAGTTCTGCTTTTGATAAAGTCGATTTCTCATCATATGTCGAGGACATTCCAGGCAGTACAGACAGGTTTGAACAACACAACAACGCGATTTCACGAATTTTCCATAGTATAAATCGCTATAGATAATTTTGTCGGATCGTTCTCCAATCATAACAAGATCTTACCATACACAGAACGTGATGTCGCCACAATGTGATTCATCCACATCTCAAAGATTTTTTCTAACATATGAACTAAGTGTTTAAAGCTTTACGGAAAAAGGGAATGGGAAAATGGGAATGGGAAAATGGGAATGGGAAGAAATAAAATTATTAGGGAATGGGAAAAAAGGGAATGGGAAGGAAAAAAAAGTTTAGGGAATGGCAATAGGGAAAGGGAACTGGAAAAAGTCGTTCCCGCAGGACACTACTTCTTCCTCGCTTTCCTATGGAATGCATCTGTTCGTTTATCTTCATAATGTGTCTATCCTATAACACGTTTCTCTTTTGGTGTCTCTCGCTTTCCTCCTCCTCTCTCTCTCGTCGCGCTCGACGAATAAGCTGAAGGAAAGAGGGATGAAGGAGAACATAGTTGAAATAAAGCCAGTTCATAACTTTAAACAAAGTTTGTCGCTACAGGCGTATTTCATTGGAAGGGGTAGGACTTAGAAGGAATGGGCTAGAAACCTGATCGCTGTTCCTGACGTTTCCGAAGGCCGCAACGTTCGTCCTGGAATATGTGTAGAATACTATACGTTTCCACTTCATTAAGTGCATTGCTGATGAATTGAAATTAAATGTACGGAAATGATTCAAATCGCTCAATATCCGTCACTACGTTGTGTTTGCAATATTTTTCAGATATTTTAGTGCTAAATGAAGAAATATTCTAAACGCAACTCTCAGTATAAAAGTCACGCTGTTTAGACACTAATGCACTGTCTACGTCACAGGGAATTTCGTTTGAAGACTTAGTCGGTTATCAAACTTCCTTTTACTCTTAATGATCCAGTCCGCTCTCTTGAAAAAAGTTCGCAAAAATGCGAAATTCTTTCTCTCGTACCGCATTTGGTAGTCCCATGTAAGCATTTTTTGGATCTAAACGCGCTTTAATCGCGTCCGAATCGCGTCTAAATCACAGTAATTGAGCGCGTCCCAGGTGAAACAATCGGAGCATCTAGACGCAGTACAAAACTGACTGCGTCTAAACGCACTTCAATTTGAGCTGCGTCCTGGGTGAAACTATCGGAGCGTCTGAACGCGTTCACATTAAATTTCAAAATTAGGCAAAAAATCTTTCAGCCATCTCAGATTCGAACTGAGTCGCCACCGCAGTTA